AATCAAGTATATTATTTGTCAAATTAGAGGGTATTTCCTTTAAATATGCTCCTTTTTTAGAGTTATCCTGTAGTGGCTCTTCCTCAGGACAAGCAGTAATTTTGTATTTTTCACAAATTTCACCAAACCTCTGCTTTAACTTGTTGGTGATGAGTTTTAAGTTATTTTTCCACTGTAATTTGCCTTCTTTGATCCACATCTCATACTTTTTTGCATAAAAGGAAGTCCTGAATATACACATATATCTACTCTATCACAATCCTTACTCATTTCTGGTTCTTGAGACATTTTTTGCAGGTGCAAAAGTGGAAAATTAATTTGCTTGGTTTGATTCTCAGATGTCATTTTTTTCAGGGTGCATGTTTTTAAAATAACTCTATTCTTAAATAATCAAGTATGGGCAAAGAAAAATTAGAAAAAAATTAAGATTTAATTGTTAAACTTCCTAATCCATGTTCAGCTATTCCCAAATCATTGGATTGTAACTAAGAAGTGACTAATTTTGCCTTAGCCTAAAATTAGAGAATAACATGAAGTAACAAACGTAATTTTGTAACTATTTCTTTTCACTGAACTTAATTCATTGTGTTAAATCTACCAAAAATGAATTAGAAGATGGTGGTTAATATTACAAAGGCTTCCTCACTTAAAAATAATTTATCTCACCATACTTTAAATATTGAGCCCCTATAGTGTATTTAAGTACTTTTCCTAAAGATAAGTGACTGGAAAGTAGACAAACTTTAAATTATTAGGAGGCAAAATCAACACCCAGGCCTTTAGCTCAGTTGGTTAAAAAGCAGCCTTGTAACAGTAAGGTCAAGGATTGGACTCCCCAGCCAGGCCAGCCCCCAAACAAAAACAAACAAACAAACAAAAAAACCCAAACCAACACCTATCAGAAAGAAAAGTAAATTCTTAAATTTTAATTCAAATTATATACTATGATATAGTTATCATCTCTAAGGACTACCTGCTTAAGTCCGGTTCTAATATATTCTAACGTGCATTAATGACAGCAGATTAAAAAAAAAGTTTTAATATTTACTGATCTCCTCCATTGAAATGAAATAGGTTAGAAAGTTTTTGTTTGTAAGCTAACACCAAAGATCTCATTCTGGAAGGTATGATTCTCTTAATAAGCAGTTGGCTTGATTTTATGACCCCATTTTCTCCCTGAATGTAGACACTGAAGTCATCTGGAAACCACAAGGAAGAATAAACCTTTAACCTTGGCATTAGTGACTGGATATGTAAAACTGCAAATTTTGAACCAGTGGGGATGATAACTCCTTCAACATGAATCTAACTCAGTGGCCATTACCGTTTTTCATAATTTCAACTGCTCAATGATATGGTTCGGTATTTGATGCTATCTTCTTTATCATATAAGGAGATTATAAAAATGGAAGACCAAACAATATTCAGGAAATTTTTTGCCTCAATCCAAGGGTAAAATTTAGCAATAAGTTACTATAGATTCTAAGAATATTTTGTTTTATAATTAAAATGTTTTTTAAATTAAGTATTAAATAATAAATTATGATCTACTGATTCTAAAAGGCTAGTTCAAAGGTAATTTCATTTGGACTACACTATGTTATTAAAGCAAAGAAAACAATATTCAACTAGAAACTTAAATTTACATTTTTACATACCTGTGGCTGCTCATTTTCATTTTCATCAAGCCTTTCTTGTACTTCTTCTGCCATCATTTCTAAGTCTAGTTCTGCTGACAAACCTATACATTTAGTTAAACTATTTAGAACAGTGAGATAAGAGATATAATCTTTATAAAAATAGATAGAAAATAACATTTGCTTGTATTTTATAAACTGAGAGTTTAAATGAAGCTTAATCTTTAGCTGAATATTGACTTCTTTAAAAAATACTTCTAATTATCCAAAACTTCAACAAACCACTTGAGAAGACATTAGATGTCACCAGGTTGAAGGCATACAAACATCCCAAAGATTCATTCACAAATCCATCCACCTGACACAAATGAACAAAACCATTAAAAATATTTAATGCAGCAGAAACATATAAAGTAATTCTTCACACTATTCTCTACCTCATAAGCGAACCTCTTCATTATTATTGAGGTTTCCAAATTGCTGTTACTTTTTACACCTTTATCATTGTATACTCTGTTCCTTTTATTTCACACTATTCTCTACCTCATAAGCGAACCTCTTCATTATTATTATTAGAGGTTTCCAAATTGCTGTTACTTTTTACACCTTTATCATTGTATACTCTGTTCCTTTTATTTGAAATGATCTATTCTGATAAATTTCTTTTCATCTTTGAAGACTCAGCCCCCTCCTTGAAGTCTTCCTTAATTATGGCTGTCTTTCCCCAGATAAACAGTTATCTCTTTCCTTGGGGCTACCTTAGTATTTTATCCATGTTTCTACTGTATCTTTACCAACTGAACTGTAAATTATTTCTTTACATGTCTATCCCCTTTGCTCTTAGACTCTCAGGGACAATGTTTTAAATTATCCTTGTAAAAACAATCATCATTTATTTCACTCAAGTCTGCAAGGCGCTGGGATTTAAAGAATATAAATAAAGAGTGTCAGGAATGGCTTTCCTAGAGATAATGCCTGAGCTGAGACTTACAGAGGGAGGTTAGCCAGATTAACAGGAATAGAGAGCAGGAAAGGATGAGAGCACGCCAGGAAACAGTAAGGGGAAAAGCATTATATTGGATATATATTTGTCCTAACATGGGGATGGGTCAGGAGGGCATCTCCAGCAGTTCAGTAATGCCAGAGAAAAGGGCAGGCAAGGGAAAGGGCTAAAGATGGAGAGTTAGGCAGAAGTCAAACTGTGAGAGCCTTATGTGTCACTTGAAGATACTTGGACATTAATGTTTTAAAAAGTGGTTCATGGTCATATTGGTACTTGAGATAGAGATCATCCTAAATGCTATGGGGAGGATGAATTTCAGCTGCATATGAATAAGTGGAGGGAGACAAATTAGAAGGCAATAGTGCAAAATAAAGACAATGCAGGCCTGAACTGAGGGAATATTCCAGAAATATTTAGGTTATACAATTATCAATATCCATTATAGAATGAGTTTTTTTTTTTTTTTTTTTTCTTTTGTCTTTTTCCGTGTCCGGCAATGGATCGCAACCCTCAGTGTTGCCCCCGGACCGGACCGGGGACCGACAACGGGATCGCAACCCTCGGTGTTGCTCCCGCGCCTCGCTCAGCCAGTGAGCGGGAACCGGTCTGTATGTGGGATCCGAACCCTCGGGCGGGAGCGCCGCCACGCTTCCCAAGCGGCGCACTATCCAGTGCGCCACCGGGCCAGCCCTAGAATGAGTTTTTATTAAATGAATACATGTACAAATCTGGGTCCCCACAGAACTAGACTCTGCTCATTACTTTACAAAAAGTATCAAATGAGAAGTGAAATGATCTACATGAACTGTTTAAGTTGCTGTTTAAGTTGCTACACCTTCTTTGTAGTTTTTCTGTTCCATGTCTTCCTGTGTTGAGGGAACTCATTTCGGTGTTTTGTTTTAAAACTCCTGCTTCATGGATCTACCAAGCTCATAAAGAAATAAGAGCAAATGAGTCACTTGTATAGGTACATGACTTCGGATTTATACCTTGTAGTCACTACTCTAGGAGATAATTATATCTTCTGTAAAATAGAATGTTAATTCTACAGATAAAGACAAAAAAATAAAACTGTGGGAGTAAAAAAATATTGTATGATTATTACTACAGACCTGACCATATGACTGACTAAGGGCACTGAATTAACTGGTGCATAAAGAAGAACACATACTACATGCAGTTAATAGACTGGGTGTGCTAGTAGAAATAAAAGTGATTTTCACATATTATCTTTAAATGATACAGCACTCCTTAAAACCAACATTCCTACTTATAAGGTCGCAGGTTTGGATCCCTGTACCGGCAAGCCACTAAATAAAAAAAAAAAAAATTCCTTGCGAACTGTTATTCATTAAAACAAGGTTACAGATTGGACACAGCTGGGATACTATGCAGCAAATTCTCAATGATTACCATTAATGCTGGGAAAATCAATTTTAGAATACATAAAGTCATAGAGATTATAAGAAATAACAATATTTGGCTTTGGAAGATGCTTCTTTTGGTTACCTTGCATATAGTTATAACTAGTAATTGTGAATTCAGAGCTGTAAAAATAAGGCAAAGAAACATTGCATTTGAGTAGGCAATCTTCAGATCTCTACCTAATTTTCCCATAGAATCCCAAGTTCTAAATACAATCCTGGTACCCACTCTCAAGTTTATGCTAAATCCACGCCTAGATAAAATTACTCTTCCTCCTAATACTCTTTGGTATTTATGTGTGATTTGGGTAGAGGAAGAATACAAATGCCTTGCTAACAGGTATTCTCTTTGGTTGTAGGTTGTATAAGGGGAGTAAACACAAAGCAAATATTGCCACAAAATGATTTTTGAAAAGTCAGAACTATAGCATTATGAAGCCACAAAGAGGCAGGTTAGGGTTGAATTCCCTATGTTCTTTATTATCTTCTTTGCTCTCTTAGTTTTCTGGTAGCTGTGATGCACAGAGGTCATGTATAATTCCCTAATAGAAACACAGCTCCAACATTAATCTATTCATTATCTATGAAGGCCATCTGTCCAACTTCTGAGGATGCTAGCTGATTTTTAGTCGTTGATTGTGATACAAATGGATATTTATCATCAATTTTCAAATTATCAGATATCTGACAAGTCTTATTACTGAGGGCCAAACCAGTAGAATCCCAATCTGAAAAATCTGAAAATAAAGTTTTCATTTATTAGAATGTCAATAACAATACAAGTGTAACTAACTTGAATAAATTCTTTCTTCACAGAAATAGTCCCATGTCTCCCTCACAAACACACTACTCTTTCATGGCTTATTTTATTTTACATGTTCTAGGCTTGCCATTCATTTGGATAACTTTAACTATTGTCTCTTGTTTTTTCTGTTTTTATTTGTTAGTATTACTTACCTGGATTCACTCATCAATCTCTATTACATATTTTGTTTTCCATGAGAGCTTTGTTGATTAGTAATTAAGATGGTTGGGCTGGCTGGTTAGCTCTGCTGGTTAAAACATGGTGTTCCAACACCAAGGTCAAGGGTTTGGATCCCCAAACCAACCAGCCATCAAAAAAAAAAAAAAATTTAAGACTCTTCAAAGATAAAAAATTTTTTGTTGTTAATAACAAAAGATATGTCTAACCATTTCAAGCTTAAATATGTATGACAGTATTGTGTGTATTATAGACATGGGCTTAAAAATACTTTTAATGAATGCAGTACTTTAAATAAAAAATGAATTACAATGAGATGGTCTTTCCTCAAAACACCAATATCCTCCGAATTCACTTTTTAAGTCTTGAATAAACACTATAAATTTATATAAAAAATGGTAGCCTTAAGTGACCTAATTGTCCCCTTGTAAAAACAGGATAAGTCTAGGTCCACACTAGATCCACAGAGAACAGAATACCATGAAACAGGAAATGAATATAACAGAAATATTTTTC